GTTCCCCTCCCCTTCCCTCCCCTTTACTAATTTTTATTCAAACATAGGCTAAAAGCTTAAATTGGTCTCTTAACTATTCTGCGATTTTTATTCTTAAACTCAACAAATCTCTGATTTGGGCTTAAAATTTGAAAATTTAAGTCTACATATATATTTTTTGTCCTCCTCTTAAAAATTGGTGTACAATAAGTAATTTTATGTGATGGAAAAAATAATAATTAAATTAAATAAATTTATCAACAAAATTAAAAATTTTCAATTAGTAATGCGAAAAAAAAAAAAGACCTCTAGAAATAACTTTTTCAATTTACGAGTGAATTCACCATTAATCACTAATCATGATGTTCAAAAGTTTTATAAAACACTGATACCGTAGCGGTTTGATGGAACCTACAAACCATTGCACCAAGTGTACAATCATTTGTTACTGTTTACTTGAGCAATCATATCTCAAAGAAAATCCTATATTCATCCCTTGTAAATTCCCCCAAAACCTACTCCTACATCAACATCACTCCTGCTCAAACAGATCAATGGAGGTAAAACCAACATATACAAAAACACACACTTACTCCGCCGGTAATTCCTTCCTTATACGGGAATCGCTGACAGTTCAAATCCATGATCAATATAGGAAAGCTTTCGTTCTCCAGTTTTTTCAGAAGCCTCAACACATACCAATACAAGCATTTGGATTGTCTCCATGCTTTGCACAACGTAATATGCGGTCAACAGAGCCATGCATGCTAAATATGCCTTCAAAATCTTGTGTGCCTTTCCACTCTCCAAAGCAGAGTCTGGTGCTCGTTTCTTTCCCTCTTCTTTCTCCTTCCCCGGTCCCTCGTCCTTCTCCGGCCCTCCGCCCTTCGTTGTCTGGCCCCTCGTCCTCTTCTTCATCCTCTTTCATTTTCTTACTCAGGTTTTGGGCTTTCAGAAAAGCCTCAAATTCAGCTTCCTTTAGCATAAATTCAGCTTGCCTTTGCATAAATTCAGCTTGCCTTCGCTTAAATTCAGCTTCCCTTGGCATAAATTCAGCTTTCATTCGCCAAACTTCCCAAATTGCAGCTGCAAACCAAAAAGCAGGAAAATCAGGAAAATAAGATTATGGCAAAATTTTCCCATGCTTTAGCAAAATTTATCCAAAAGGAATAAACAAAAGGTATGGTACGTATGGATTCAGAACCAAGTCTCTGTCACGCCAACTTAACATAAATGCATAACAAAGGTTTATTAGGATTAAGAGGCTGTAAAGAAAAGGATCAAAGCCATCATGCTTGCTTGAAGAATAAGGTTTTCTAACATCGGAGTGGCCATGACAATTAACAAGGGCCATACCATTCTTTTCAGAATTATTCAAATTCATGACTAAGACAAGAAAATAAAAACAGAATCCAAAAAATAATTAATAAATAAATTATTTCTATGAATAAGATTTTAATTTTTATGAAGTCTCATCTGTCATAATTAACACGAGCACTAATTAAAAAGTGTGATGATCAAGAATAATAATAATAATAAGTTTTAACACAAGACTTTTTTCTATAAAGATTTGAAAGCCATAAATGCTTTTGCAGGATAGGATTATATATTTTAAAAAGGATAGCATGTGCTAAAAATTACATAAATTTGATTTAGAAAAAAAAAGCTAAAACGAGAGAAATTAAAATTTAAAAGAAACAAACCTTGGAGAAAACTGTTATACTACTTGCAGCCACCCAAAGGTCTCTTTCCAAGGTATACATCAATTCTTTTATGTCCATTGGCAGAGGCCAGATCGGCAGGTGTTCTGCATGAAGGATATTCTGGTGATTGCTTTGTTAATGCTCCAGGATCTGCACCCAATGAAATGAGGGTAGCCACTGTGTTCCCTCTGAAGTTGAAGAAAGTTTATGTCAATAGAACCAGCACAGAAAAGATCAATGAGTCAGAAATCACTGAGAAAATAATACGCAGGCTCCTTAAAGCATGAAATGTCAGATGATATGGCATTTTTCACGTATGTTTGAATCTGAAATTTCAAGAAAGATATATTTTCCCTGATTATGGAGTATATGCTAACCTACAGAGCCTTTATTTATCTTCTCTTGTGGACTAAAGGACGATAGCAAAATGCTCAAAAAGGAAAAGAGATAAAGAAACATGGAAGAAAATGGTAACCTTAGCTGAAATAATCAAAAGAAGTGTTGAGCTGTTCACCTGCCACAAGATGCTGCCCAGTGAAGTGCACTCCATCCATTCACATCACAGAAATCAACCCTTACACCGGCAACTATAGTAGGCTCCAAAGCCCAATCATAGCCAAGTGCAGCTGCCAAATGTAGAACACCTTGGCCACCCTCATCCAATATACTAGAGGCATAACCTCCTTCAGCTACCTTCTTTAAGAGCCATTGACGCAGCTTCCCTTTCAGTGTCTTCGGAGGCACTTGCTCCCTTTATTTTTCTGAGGAAAATTCCGTTCCTGAACTAGTATTTAACAACTGGTCCCATTCATGGATGTCCTCTTTCAGCAATGAATTGATTTTACAGCTTAACTGGGATACAACCTCTAAACTGCTGCTGACAGAATTAGTAAAACTGGAGCCTAGGCTAAGTATTTTATCAAAACGCGAAAAAAGAATTGCATTGGCACTGTCACTAAAGTTTTCAGCAGCATTTATATCTTGGGGCTGACTGACTCGGTATTCGAATTCTCGCACTTCATTACAAGCTAATCTATTGCGGGACATAACACAGAAAGGAACCCTACCAGCCTCATGTATAGGAGCATGGCAACAGAGAGGTACACCTATCATAATTATCAGTAGAATATTAAAGACATTAATGCATTTCTCATCCAGAAACTATCTTACATTTTCTAAATTGAATGGATTAGAAAATTATGATGTACTGTAAACCTAGACATATTGAAGCCAAAAAAGGTTCACCTGATTGAGCATTTTCACATTCCAACGCCTGTGCACCATTCAGACACATATCTGTATTTTCTGAAACTTCTGGGCAACTGT